CTCAAAAACTTACTTTTACTAAATATTTTGAATCAGGTTATTTAGTTTAATCAGTCGCTAGTACTATATAATAGGCTTATTGGGGAATTTTTTGGTATTGTGAATCGGATATATTGAATCAAGTACTTTCGAAATTAGGGCCTATGATGATACTAATTCTTGGTGAATTTAGTTTACTGAGGCCATTGAGAGCTGGGCTACTGTTATGAATCGAATTCATATTAAATCAGGTCATTGGTATTATGAACTTTGCTTCTTTGACAATTTTGATAATGCATTTCTCAAAAACTTACTTTTACTAAATATTTTGAATTAGGTTATTTAGTTTAATTGGTCGCTAGTACTATATAATTGGCTTATTGGGGAATCTTTGGGTATTGTGAATCGAATATATTTATCAAATTCAACCAAGTATTTTTTTTTAAAAAAATATATATATTAAAGCCTATAATAATATCCGATTTTTTGTATAAAAGAGTTTATTGCAGCTGTTATAAATTTTATAATAATCGAATTTAATTATTTTGTTTTTTAAATATAATTTGGATTTTTCAAAATTTTTAAACATTAATTATAAATACTATATTTTGCCTTGCTTTGTAATTGTTCTTGGACTCTTTGCAAATAATCTACTTATTTAGCACTAGTTATTGCATATAAATTTAAAACTTTATAGATTAATTCAGAATATATATACTGTATTTTCGTGTAATAATATGCAAGAGTAAAATTATAAATTTTGGTCCGAATTAAGCTTAATTCGATCTGAACTGCTAATGAGTGTTATTACTCAAAAATACAGTATACAATATTTAAGAGTATATTATTTTAGAATATACACGGGTATTATTTTAAAGCAAAAAATAAAAGTTTCAAGTAATGCACGTATGCACAAATACTATAGAATTAATATTATATTATAAATTAGTTATAAATATGTAATTTGTATAATTAGAATTTGTAATTTAATAAACTATTATATATATTGATTTTATAGTTTAATAAATATTATATTATAAATTAGTTATAAATATGTAATTTGTATATAGAATTTGTAATTTAATAAACTATTATATATATTGATTTTATAGTTTAATAAAATTTATATATATAGTTGCTATAAAGTTATTTTTAAATAAAATTTGATTTTTAAATCTGATTTTTTGATAAATTTTTTGCTTTCAATATGTCTCAAGAATCTACTTCAACCCAATCTTCTTTAGAATCTTTGTACCAAGTTTTCTCACATCAACAATCTACTTCTCAACAATCTACTTCTCAACAATCTACTTCTCAACAATCTACTTCTCAACAATCTATTTCTCAACAATCTATTTTTCAACAATCTATTTCTCAACAATCTACTCCTCAACTATCTACTTTTCAACAATCTACTCCTCAACAATTTACTTTTCAACAATCTACTCCTCAATCTACTTCTCAATCTACTTCTCAACAATCTATACAATCTTCTTCTCAACAATTTTCTTTTCAACAATCTTCTATTTTATCTTCTATTCCACAAACTTTTCCACAACTTACTCATCAAGATTCTCAACAATCTATTATTAATATGTTTGAAGATTTTGTATTTGATAATACTATTATTGAAGAATTTAATAATTCAGCAGATTTACCTATTGTTTATAAATTTTATACTTTTATTAAAGATACCAAAAGATTTAAATGCAAATTATGCTCGTAGGTTTTATTTTTAAATTTTATTATTTAAAATTTTAAATTAATATATTAATTTTTTTAGAACTGATTATGCTAAGCCAAAAAATAAATCTACTGGAACAATGCGATCACATCTTAAAAATAAACATCAAATTGATTTAAATGAATTAGAAAATAAAACAACAGGAAAAAAAGTAATTTAATTTAATATTATATTTTTTAAATTATTATTATTAAATTTATTTTTTTTAAAAAAACATATAATATAAATATTAATTCTTTATATTTATTTATTTATAGAAATTTACACAAGCAGAGTTTATTAATATAATTACTGATTGGATAGTTGATGATGATCAATCATTTCGAGTTGTTGAAAAACCTAGTTTTAAAAGAATTATTGAATATTTAAATAATGAAGCAAAACTTGTATCTGGGACAACAATTAAAAATAAAATTATATCAAAATATGAATCTGAGCAAATTGAAATTATTAATAAATTACAGGTATATTTATTATAAATTTAAATTTTAAAATTTAATAATAATATTTATTTTTATTTTTAGAATTTATCTTGCAAAATTTCGATTACTCTTGATATTTGGACCTCTCCTAAAGTTGAATCATTTTTAGGAATTATTGCTCATTGGATTGATGATAATTGGAATATGCAACAAACAACTCTTGATTTTGTTCAATTAAAAGGTGTACATTCAGGAGAAAATATTGCTGACATATTATATGAAATATTAAATAATCTTGGACTTTTAAACAAGGTTTTTTAAAATATATTTTATTTATATAATATATATTTAATTATTAATAAATTATTATTTTTTAATATAGATTTTAGCAATTACAACTGATAATGCATCTAATAATAATACAATGTTTAGATATTTTGCTAATCATTGTATTTATAATCAAATTAATTTTGATATGAATAATCAAAGAGTACGATGCTTAGCACATATAATTAATTTGGCAGCTCAAGATCTTTTAAAAAATCTTAAAGCTGAAGGACTTAATGAAAATAAAATTTTATTAAATAATGAAGATATTAGTTCTACAGTAAAAAAAGTAAGTAAATAAATTAATATTTACAAAATATACAAAATTATATTTATTTTATTATATTAATATATAATTATTATAAAAGCTTAGAAAAATTATTATGATAATTTATTCAT